TATTATTATTATTATTATTATTATTATTATTATTATTATTATTATCATTATTATTATATACTATTTTATTATATATTTATTATATATATTATAGATATTAGAAAATTTGCTGCATTTAACAAAATAACAACCCCAAAAATATAACATTATATAGCTTGTCAGTATTTTGATGTATATTGCATTGAGATGCTGGTTTGGCATGCTTATCCAAATAGGCATAGGAATTACCAATAGGGTCAAAAAAACACCTATTTAGCACCATACCAGAGGTTTAAACAGAAAACAAACATACATATGGTAACTTACAGGTAAATAACATGCCAGAGGTTCAGACAGAACACAAACATATATACATTTATACATTAGGGTGCAGTGAAATTTTAGGTGAAAATATAAAAAGTAAATTATTGATATGTAATAGCAATAAAAAGTTGTCTTTTGATATGCGCTCATAAAATGAAAAAAACTTCCTCAAAATTCAGCTGCCTTAAAATGTGTTCAGCTGCCTTAATGGGCTCAAAATTACTAAAAAATTCATTTCATCAAAACAGCCTGTTTTATTCATAATCTGTTTTAATCAAAAAATATTGTAATTTTTATAATTAATACCCTAACCCTAATTAATCAATAAATAAACAAATAATTGTTTCACCTAACCTCTATAATTGTTTCATAAATGTTTACAATTGAATTTTAAAAGCTCTTCTAAATGCTATTTTTACCATGGTGTTGCAAAGTCACGATGGTTAATAAGTTATTTTAAGTTTTAGCTATTTGAGGGTGTAGTATGTCATTTTCTTAAGTTTTGTATACATTTTGCTACAATGAAGAACAACAATTTGAATGAGCATTTAATTTGCACTGGCAATGAAATGGAAGAAAAAACTTCACATCAATGGATATATCAATTGATCGTGGTTACATGCATGCCTTCTACTGTCAGTGTTTAACACAAAGTCAGAATATGGAACTTCCAAATCAATACAGTAACTGGATAATGGATATTAAAATATTTAATAAATAGATACTTTTATTACATTCTTTAACTTTTGCTAATCTGTAAATCAAAATTTTCAGAAATTAATTATATTATTTTTATTTTATGGTTTTAAATAATCGTTCAATGTAATCACTAATTATATAAAGGTAAAATAGAACCAAATAAAATGATATTCTATGAGCTCAAATAGCTGACAAAGTAATTTTTTCATTGTGACATGTCATTAAATACAGTGACTGGTTGAAATATTCATATTTATTTATAATATTTATAAATATTTGTAGCAGCTGTAGTGTAGTGATAAAACATTCAGATTTAGACCGCAATATCTTAAGTTTGATTTCCGGCTTGGCACAAAAATGTTTTCAATAAGGTTGGGAACCAAGAGCCAATCTATTAAATGCTATTTTTCACTTCATGTGGGAGTGCTTTGTGTTAAGACCATTAAAACTTCTTAAAGCACTTTAACAATAACTTTCAATGACTTAATAAGGTCATCAAAGTATGTTCATATTTGATAAAAAAGTATGTCATTCTTTTCAGTTTTTACAGTTTTTTCTTATAGTAATTGACAGGAAAATATACTCTTTAATAAAAAAAAAATTATTGACTCAAACAGACAATTTTCATGAAAAATACCTTTTTTTTTCCAATCATTGAGCACATACCAAAAAACTTTTTAATGCTATTACATATAAACATTTTACTTTTAATTTTTTTACTGCACCCTAATCAATAAACCAAGATGCTATATATATATATATATATATATATATATATATATATATATATATATATATATATATATATATATATATATATATATATATATATATATATATATATATATATATATATATATATATATATAACCCTCGGAATTAGGGCTGGCATTCAGCAATGCCGACCTAACTGGCGACCTGAAAATGTTTGGGCTTGGCAAAAAATTGCTGACCTTGTTTCTATGTTTCATGGTTAAACCTTTGTATCAAATAATTTTTGCCGACCTGATGCCAACCTTGAAAAGATTGAGGTCGGTAAATTATTGCTGACCTCATTTTTCCTAATTCCAAGGGTTGATATATATATATATATATATATATATATATATATATATATATATATATATATATATATATATATATATATATATATATATACATATATATAGAGAGAAAGAGAGATTTTATTTCATTAAAACTTTGCAAACAAGTAGTCAAAATTATTAACTCTAACCCAAATCAGAATAATGCATAAAGTTCTATTCAAATTCAGAGTTTTTATAAAAATTAAAAGTAAAGTAGGGGAAGTTGGGGTAAGTGGATTAGAATTTTGTTCATCTTGATAATGTAATCATTTTATGTGCTCATATATGAGCCATCTTTATTTATAGTTGTTACCACATATTTTTTGACTACCGGTTTTTGGTAGGTAATTTTTGTTTTTAGCCAACTAAAGTAAATTTTCTTTCCGTCCTTATGTTTGTTATGAAGATCATGGTTGAGATAATTTCAAAAGTTGAAGTTTTTCATTCAGATTATTGATATTTATGCTTCCTTTTAGTAGTTTAGCTTTTCTTTTAACAATACTTATGTCCCAAGAAATTAGACTTAAACTTAAATTGTTATGGTGGGACACAGTGAATTGGGGTACAGTAAATAAGTTGATTTACTATGCCCCATTAATGATCTTAAAGATTAAATTCATGCATTCTTAACAAACAAACTACATGAAAATTAATTTATTAGTTTTTAGTTATATATAATAATATTTGAATAATTTATTAATTTTTCAGTATTTTTATAAGTTTTGTTATCAATAAAATTCTTTTTTTTTTCTCAATTTTCAATGTCTCTTTTTTTGATTTTTAGTAATCTAATTAATAAAAGTATGCCAAAAGTATAGTGTACAGTGTTTACTCCCTCAGCCTCAGGTTTTAGTGATTTATTATCATAAATGATATCTCAATCCTTTCGCCTTAAAAAAAATAAAATACATATTTAAACTTTTGCTCAATATAAAAAATAAAGAAATCCAATCCACTTTGCCCCAACTTCCCTTATGTTTGTTCTGCTTTTAAAAAGATTCAGATACAATGCCGGCTAAAAAAGACTCAAAACTGGCACAAAATGGGAAATATCTTATTAAGAACTATGATCCTAATGAAGAGCATACACCTTCTGCAACTCATACTAAATGTAGACATGTTCTAATTAAGATCAAAAAGGAGAGAAAATAATAATCTACCTCACACTAGCCATGGACATGAAACTTGAAAATATTTTTTCTTGGATTTTTCTAAGAATGATTTTCAAAAGCTCTTGGGTTTTTAAAGTGAGCAAGCATTAGATCATGTTGATTTCATCAGGCTATAGGAAATACAAGTTTAAATCAAAAATTGGGTCATCCAGAGTACTGCAAAAAAATACTGAAGAATCATAAAACTGCATAATTGCTTGAAACCTTTTTATACACAAGTTAGAATTCATAACTTTATATTTAAAAAAAAAGCTTGTCTATGTAATGTAAAGTTATTTAATGCAAATATAGAATAGTTATATAAAAAAGTTTTCTGTTTTAAAATTTCATTTAGGTTAGTAATTTTTCAAATTAAATTAAAATATATTTGTATAATAAATTTAATAAAAAAAAAATATATGAAACAAACAAAATCAAGGTTAGTAAGATTAATTTTGTCTGATTTAGTTTATTATTCAAAACTTATCATTTTTTTCAAAATTTTAAATGTACTGAAAATTTTTTGTAAAAATGAGTCTAATTGATACAGAAATTTTGCAAAACTTGGTCTAAAGCTTTCCAAAATGTCTTTGTAAAAAAATTTAAAATTAAGATATGCAAACTACTAAAAAATAATTAATTACAATTCTTACACCTTATCTATTTTAATAAACAGTCATAAAATTTTAATTAATACTTTTATTTGAGTGCATCCTACTAAATGAAACATACATACATAAATACATACATAAAACATACATAAAACATACATAAAACATACATACATACATACATACATACATACATACATACATACATACATACATACATACATACATACATACATACATACATACATACATACATACATACATACATACATACATACATACATACATACATACATACATACATGCATACATACATACATACATACATACATACATACATACATGCATACATACATACATACATACATACATACATACATACATACATACATACATACATACATACATGCATACATACATACATACATACATACATACATACATACATACATACATGCATACATACATACATGCATATATACATACATACATAAATACAAGCAGATAATGAACAAAAATATTGAAATATACCTTCAGAGAAGACAATGTCAAATTTCCCATTTGCATTACTTAATTTTAACCTGAATTTTTATCAAATGTTGTTATAAATCAATAAAAACAAAAACAAAAACAAAAAAAATTAAAAATGCAACTTACATTTTAAAAAAAATCGATGTTTATAGAATAATAAAAAGTTGATATCCATGGAATTTTGAAAAGTTCACTTTATTAGCTTGAAAGTTTGATATCCATTTAATGTGAATTCGCTTTGACATAAATATTGCTATTTTTTTTATGATATATATATAAAAAAAAAGTTGTTAATAGAAGATTCACATAAATTTCATTAATAATGTATTTTAATGCTTTTTAAAAAAGATGAAAATTATAAAAAAAGGAAAACTTCTAAAAATCATTTAACAATTTTTAATATTTTTATTTTTAACAACAAGTTATTTTTAATAAACTAGGCTCCACAATTTAAGTGAAATACTATAAATTGTGTCCCTAATTTAGTTTTATAAAATTAAAGAAACATTTTAAATTACTATTGCTAATTATTAATGAATATTTATATAAAAGAATATTGATCCAAATATTGATAAACTTTGATACAAGAAAGTATTTAGTTTGAATAAAAATAACCAAAACAATCGAAATTGAAGCATCAGCAATTAAAAACACTTGTTTTACAATATATTTGTAGTGATGATTAATTTTGAACCAGGATTTTGTTACCATCTAATGCATTTCTAAAAAGATTAAACCATTCTATTCATATATTTTATATTCATATATTATAAAAACTATTTTATAACAATCAAGTATTTTCACCATTAATTAGTTAACTTTTTGTATTCACAAAATCAATATTATACTATTTCAAGTTGTTTAAATTAGTCATTAAAAATTTTTATACTGTTTATACTAAATATTTTAAAAATAATATGTAATAATGTATAAAAAACCAAACGTAAAAAAAAAATAGAAAAGAATATAATAAAATAGAAAAAGATATAATAAATTAAACATAAAATTAAAATTTCAAATCTAAATTTAAAAATTACTTAGTAGCACTGATTACTCATACTTAGTACACAGCAAATTACTCATAATTTGTAAAGCAAATTACTCATAATTAGTAAAGCAAATTACACACACTTAATACACAACAAATTACTCATACTTAGTAAACAGCAACCACACACTAAAACAGTAAACAAATACAAACACTTAGTAAGCAAATTAACCAAGTTATTCTAAAAATAATTTTTATTTTTTGATTTATAAAAATCAAGTTCTTTAATAAATACAAGCTAACTATTACCTGTTATATCATCAAGCAGTTTTTCACTTTTAGTTAATGTCTAAATGAAATAGACAAATTATTAGAGGTTCATAAGAATTATTTCTAAACTTTATTACATGTTGTAAAACTGTCTTGTCTAGTTTAATAAAACTTTGTTTTGATTGGCAGTTCTATTTTGAACACCTCTTTTTGAAATAATGTAAAACAGGACTAAAATAAAACATTTTAAACCTAAATAAAAGTTAAATGTGCTAGAAACTAAAAAAGAAAATAAATTCCAGAACATTACAAAAACAATGGCAAATGGTTTCAAAACATTAAACATATGAAATAATATTTTTATTTATGTAATGATTAAATAAAAATAACTATCTATATTTAAAAATCAATTGAATCATATCAGGGTGGCCACACAAAATTTTTATTAAAAAAAGAGGATAATAGAGGATTTTAGAGGAGATTTTGCATCAAATTTAGAGGATTTTTAATCGCGAAACTATAAAATTTTTAATAAAAATATAGGATTTTAGAGGAGATTTTTATATAGGTTTAACATCCATGTTTTGACACTTGGGTGGCTCTGAAAGACTTTTATAATGCGATTTATTAAAATAAATGACTTAGATTGCTGAGGGAATTTTTACAACCCAACCCATGCCTTCCTGGCATTAACTAGTTTTGCAAACCAGGGTATTCATAACATTATGCTAAAATCAATAAATGAAATTTGATTACATGAAATAAAAATTTATATATTTTTTATTAATGAAATCGTTTCTTAAGTTCTACCAGCTTTGCTTTTTTGCATTTCAATTCAGAGAATACAGAGAATACTCTCTTTGTCAATTACAGCTATTTTCAAGGCATTACATTTGGATAAGATCATTCCTTTTTTCTGCCTCAAATGCAAAGTTATCAGCATCTTTTTGAAGCTGGATAATAGCTTTTTCCTAAGAGACAACCTTAATATTTATTTCCTGAATTTCTAAAGCAATCTTAATCTCTTTTTCATTCTTCTCCATGCTCAATTTGATTTTAGATTTATGAACAAGTGACTGTTGATATTTTTCACAAGAAGATTTAACATACGATAACAAATTCTTTGACATGGGAAAACTGTGAGGTTCAAAATTTTTTGTTTCATATAGTCCAATAAAAAAAACAATTTGGGCAACAGACCAAAGGGATTTATAGTTAGGATCTGAACCAATGTGCTTCCAGAGAAATGAGTCCAACCGATCTTTAGATTCATCAAATTCTTTGAATAGTTCTGTGTTAACCTTAACAAAATTTGACAAAAATTTTGAATACTCTTGTTTGGTTTTCATTGCGGTTTCAGAAGTCAGTTTTTTCAAACCAACAAGGATTTCAAGCATTTTGTCTAATAAAGCTGATAATGCTGTCGGTTCCAACATAACTTTAGGAGACAAACAAGAAGTACTTCGAACAAGATAATTTTTCAATATACTTTTTTCTGTAAAATGCGCACATAAACTAGACAAGAACTGTAAAGAACCATACTGAAGATTCCATAAATGACTATTGCTCAACTTTCCATTTTTTTTCAAAATTCTGATATCATGTTTTATAGCAAAACCAAGATCAACAGACTTCAATAACACTTGATTAACTTTATCAGTAAAGTTAACTTTGAGCAGCTTATATACAAAGTTTGCTTTTTCTAAAACATTCTTCCTCATTAAGCGGCTGCATAAATTACGAAGGACATTGTCTAGTGACTCGGTAAGAAATGGCACCATTGGATTGTCGGTTTGAAAAATAATTAAAAAATTATTTAATGATGTTGCAATTTTCTCAAAAAATCTAAGTTTCATTGGTATAGTGACATCTTCAACAGCTGTAGCAAGACAATCAAAACTGGTGTTTTGTCCAGGCTTTCTGTTTCCAGGTTGCTTTGATTTTGGTAAGCCTTTCCAAAACTTTACAACTTCAATTATCTTAGGCCAAATCATTTGGGCACATTTGGAAACATAACTATTTTCAATCTATCTTTGTGCACAAAATTTAAGAGGATAATCGGAAAAAGTAGCAGCTGTTAGACATTCATAGTCAGCTCGGCAAGAAGGAGACTCATAAAATATTTTATACAGAGAAAAAAGTGGTTTCTTAATATTCCAGTCAGTAGCCATTTCCCCAGTTTGGAAAGAACGATGAAGGGTATGAAGACTATATATTCCGATATTATTTAATGGATCAAGTAAATCTTCTTTTCTACTCTCATTTACCAGATTTAAAAAGAATAAATTTACATTAGCTTGTCAGAAGAAACTACGATCTACGATTTTTTGGATCTTGGATTACTACGATCCAAAAAACTTAAACAATTATTATACTTTGAAAAAACGTAACCAGCATATGCTTTACCCAAGAACTCGGAACTCCAATAAGATATTTTTACTTCATTTTCTGTGTCCCAAAAACGAACATGTTAAACCAATTTGACATTTTTTAGAAATTTTGTTATAAGATTCATCAAATAATGTGGTATAATAAGGAACTTTGTTCAATTCGTTTAGCATTGTTTCTTTAACAAAAGGGGCAACACCGTGACATAAAATGTAATTGCATTTTGTTTTTCCACAAGTGAAACTTTGAGCAATTTGACTGTCTGGAAACAAGGAGCAAAACAGCTTACTTTTTGATTCTGAAGAATGGTAAGAATATTTACATTTCAAAACTTCTAGTGACCAAACTACCTCTGCATTTAATATCTGATCTCTTGACATCATATCAAATTAATTTGTTTGCTTTTGAGCTGCTTTTTGTACTAGTAGATTAGTTCCTTCAGATAACCTTTTTAAAAAACTTGTCTTACTGCTATTAGATGGACATCTTTACACGTGTTTCTTTTCTTTGGCATGTTGCTTTATATTTTCTATTCCACTGTTTGCAATGCTAAATGACTTTGAACAAACTTTACAAAATGCACTTGCTTCATCTTTTTTATCTTTTTGCAACCAGCATTTGAACTCCTCTTCAACAAGCCACAAGTCTTCAAATTTACTTATATACTTAGGCATTATTTATACTTTTCTAAACTAAACAAGTAAATCTTTTTGGTAGACATACTAGAAAATAACTACATTCAAATCAATTTCTACACAGATATAAACTCTTTAAAATTGTTGTAAGAATAAGAAAACCTTTTCAAAACTGTATTACTGTAACTAATATAAACGTTAATACTGTAAATAAAATAAAAATCTGCTAATCGAAACAATACAATATTATTTTTTAATAAAAATATATATTTATTGTTAATATTTCTAAAAATTGAGTAAACTTCAAAAAAAAAAAAAAAAAAAAAAAGAGGAGTTATAGAGGAGAATTGATCATATTTTCAACTTTTTAGAGGATAATAGAGGACTTTAGAGGAGATTTTTTAAAAAAGAAGACTTTAGAGGATTTTAGAGGAACTGTGGCCACCCTGCATATGATACTGCTAAACAGTTTTTATTATGTCATAGTAGGGTGTTCTGAAAAAATCACCAGTTTCTGATTACATTGCAAAAAAAACTACCTTTTGATGGATAAACTATTTCACATGAATATCAACAGAAAATAATTTATTATTATTCAGCAGTTGCAACTGTACCAATGCACTTACAATATAACAACAAAAGTAAGACAAGCATTTATATCAATTTTAGTTATTTTGTAGTTGTTTTTTTTTTGTATCTAAAAACACTAGCCAACAGTCAGTTTTCAGTGCCATTACAAACTTATTAGACTTACAAAAGTCACAACAATAATGTGCCTATCTTGGAGTCAGGAAATTTGTGGCAATGTTTCCAGTCAAACAGCAATAAGCACTGCTTCTGTTCTCCATTTTTTGTTAGCAGTGAATTGAAATCCTGTGTGAGTTTCTCTTTCAAAAAATGTGGATAAAAAAAAACTAAACCAATAGTTATTCCACTTGAATACTACAGATGGCAGTTGAAAGTTGTAACTGTACCTGTTTAATGGCTTAATTTCCGTATTCAGATAATTAGTATAGCAAATGAAGATCATTGGCAGGAACTCTAACTATACTAGGAGCCTGAAACCATGCTTTAATGTAAATGTCACATATAAACAAAAAAAAAAACAACTGAAAAATTCCTTTTTCTTCACCAGCTTTCAGTTTGAACCGAAAATTAAAGATCTACATTTTTATTGAACAATTCTAACCATTCAGCATGCCCAGTGCAAAGCTCCAGGTGGCTGTGAAATGAACACCACATCATGGAGTTCCACTAAAAGATGATTACAAGTTCTAAGAGTTCCCTGTAATCAAGGTTGATGGATTTCAATATTTGTCTCAGCAAAATGAATTATACAAGCTTTAAAATTAGCAGTCTCTACTGCATCTGCTGCTATCTTGAAGTTACCCTAATCGATCCAATTACAAATTTCTTAAACAACAAGATATTTGGAACCATGAATGTGGTTATTTTCATAATAAAAAAAACCTTAGCTACAATTTCCATAATATGATGTTTACATGCAATATGTAAAATTAAAGCACTTTTTGCATCAGAATGCACCTGCATACTTGTTTTGCTAGCAGCTGTGTCAAAGCATAAAACTCTTATAATGTCACAAACATTCCAGACACCCATAGGTCATACTACAGTAGCTGCCTGTGCTTCTCTGGTCTAAGAAGTCATTTTTAAAATGCCAGTCTCAGTGCTACTGCTCAACAATAATGGAACCTTGCTGGTTGAATTTCAATTTTTTTGAATTTTAACTACTTCTTTGATTTTATATGATGTGTTTCTTCCTTTTTCCTTCTTACTTTCTATAATATAATTTATCTGCTTTATAATCTACTCTGGCAATGTAACCATTCTTGTCTGTGAGCAATCAAGAAGCTAAATTCTCAGGAATCATGATCAGACTTTGTGCATTCTGTTGAGTGATATTAAAAATCGGGTCCAAACATTCACAAAATGCCTCCTCCTTTTTTATTTGAGTAACAGTTTGACATTTGCATTCTTTCGTTACACCTTGTGATTTGCTGTGGATTTTCAGAACTTATTTAACTATACCATGCAA